TCTGCAGTTAATCAAAAATTAGCATGTTATCTATAGGTACTTTGGTAATATCTGAAAAGTGACCATCAAAATGCCATCTGAAGCTTTTTTGGTTTTTGGCTTTGTTTTTGTTTTCCCGTCCTCAGTGGTGGTCAGATTAATGAGACTTTAGAGGAAAGGTTGTGTGGTGTATGAACATTATTTGTTTTGGTTGTCACTAGTAACAGTGGCCATAATATGTGATAAAAGGGTGACTATAGTGAATGAGGAAAAGTGATGCTGGTTTCACTGGAGAAGGCTTTATAACTTTTTTCAGATCTGTGTTCTATCGCTCATACAAAGAGCAAGAGTCTAAAAAAGGGTATGACCAAGAGGAAGTTTTTGAAAAGCCTACACGTGAAACTTGCCAAGGTAAGATACAGGAGTGTATGAAGAATGACTTTTTAAATTAAACTTCTGTAGGCTAGGTGGTTAATGTTGTTGAACTCATTCAGTCTTTATTTTGGGACATATAAAATAGAAATGTCTGTGTTAATAGCAAAATATATCAGTTGAGATACTTGCATAAAATTATCTTTAGACATTTTAGCAGTAGTCCGAAGTTGCAAGCAGACCTGTTGAATTTCTATAGAACATTAAAGTCCGTATGTTGAAAAATTTGGGCGTCTACTTTTTTCTTTTTTTTTTCCCCCCAAGGTATGAGACATGCAATCTATGACAAACTTGATGATGATGGTTTGATAGCACCTGGGGTACGTGTGTCTGGGGATGATGTTATCATTGGCAAAACAGTAACGCTGCCAGAAAATGAAGACGAACTGGAAAGCACTAACAGACGTTTCACAAAGAGAGACTGTAGCACTTTTCTGCGAACTAGTGAGACTGGTATTGTAGATCAGGTCATGGTAACCCTTAACCAGGAAGGATACAAGTTCTGCAAGATTAGGGTGAGCACTGACATGTGTGCTTTCTACTTCTAATAATATTTGTTCTTTATTTAAGTTACCAATTGAATGTTTTCATATGGCTTACAGGTACGCTCTGTAAGAATCCCACAAATTGGAGATAAATTTGCCAGCAGACATGGTCAGAAAGGAACCTGTGGTATCCAGTACAGGCAAGAGGTAGTGATTTTTTTCTTTTCCTTCTTAACATTTTCTCTCAGATCTTCTTAGCACTGGAACTGTCTTAAGTAAGTTGTCTGTGGAATATCTACTCAGGTGCAATATATTGACTTAAATTTAGCTAAAGTATGTTTAGAAAGGCACACAGCTGCTTCTTATGTGGTACTTCAGTGTTGTTGAAATGCTTTAAAAGATGTAACTTGAATCCATGGAACTGCTTTTCTTAAAGCTGATATTCTGGGAAGTACTGACTGTCTGTTTCCCTGCTCTAGGATATGCCCTTCACCTGTGAAGGCATCACACCTGATATAATTATCAACCCCCATGCCATCCCCTCCCGCATGACCATTGGTCACTTGATTGAGTGTCTTCAGGGGAAGGTAAGAGGAATGTTTTATGCTGCATGTCTGAGCAATATGAATTAAAATGCCTTTTTTTTTTGTTTTGTTTTTGGTAAAGGTATTACTCCCTGGTAGGTCTTAACCCACTAAAAATTAAGGATTGTTCTCCAGTTACTTGCTAGCAAAAGCAGGTTTCTTGGGGAAAACCTAGAGTCCTGCAAATTTTGTCCAACAAGTCAGACTACAGCATATTCTCTCATCTGTTGCTTTTATTCCGAACACTTCCTGTGACCTAGAAAAAGGAGTTGAGCAAAATTGTTGATACTGTATTTTTTTTTTTTAAATCTCACTATGAATTGTGTAGCTGGTAAACAAAACAAGATAGGGTACTGTCATGGGCATGGAATCTTAAGTTCTGGCATTAAGAGTTAAAACTGTGTGAAACTGCTTAATGTTGTCTGACTAGTCCTTCAGAAACCTGACAAGCTTTTGCAAATCCCTTCTCTGTAGGTGTCTGCAAACAAGGGAGAAATCGGTGATGCTACACCTTTTAATGATGCTGTTAATGTGCAGAAGATTTCCAATCTTTTATCAGATTATGGCTATCATCTAAGAGGAAATGAGGTATAATCAAAATAGCAATTCACTAATTTTTTTTAATATACATTTGATGGATAGTAAGGATTATGGTTCAGTGATTGCATTGACTACTTCAGGTCCTCTACAATGGCTTCACTGGTCGAAAAATCACATCGCAAATCTTCATTGGTCCTACATATTATCAGCGGTTGAAGCACATGGTAGATGACAAAATCCATTCTCGTGCAAGAGGGCCAATCCAGATACTTAATAGACAGCCCATGGAAGGCAGATCTCGGTAAGGATGATTATTGGTTTCTCTACAGTGTTTTCTTATTCTTTGAAGTTTTGTAGCTGTAAAAATTAGCTGCCTCAACTTTGTAGCTAGAAGTTAAGTAGCTCACCCCAATTAGCTACCCATTTTCATGTGTCTGGCTTAAGATGATTTATTGGGTGTAGGTGTCAAGGTTCTGGTAGTAGGAGGTGCTGCTGGAGATGGCCTCTCTGAGACAGGACCAAGGGTTGCCCTGTGCTGGACACAGACACTTAAGCTGGCTCCAACAGATCCACCACTGGCCAAAGCTGAGCCCATCAGTGACACCGGTGGCCTCTGTGGTAACATACTTAACAAAGGGTAAAAAGCACTGCACAGCAGCTGTGAGAGAAGAGTGAGAAAATGCGAAAGGAACAGCCCTGCAGACACCCAGGTCAGAGAAGGAGGAGGTGCTCCAGGTGCTGGAACAGAGATTCCTCTGCAGCCCGTGGAGAGACCATGGTGGAGCAGGTTGTCCACCTGCATGCAGCCCATGGAGGACTGTGGTGGAGCAGATATCCACGCTGCAGCCTGTGGAAAGCCCACGCTGGAGCAGGCTCCTACCAGGAGCTGTGATCTGCGGGGAGCACATGCTGCAGCAATCTGTTCCTGAAGGATTGTATCCCGTGGGAAGGGCCCATGCTGGAGTGGTTTGTAAAGGGCTATCCCATGGGAGGGACCCCATGCTGGAGCAGGGAAAAAGTGTGAGGAGGAAGGAGCTGCAGAGAGGAACTGTTAGGCACTGACTGCAACCCCCATTCCCCCTGTGACCACAGGGAGGGGAGGAAAGAGCTGGGAATGAAGGAGTGAAGTTGAGCCTGGGAAGAAGGTGGGGAGATGTTTTTAGTTTTGTCTTTGTTTCTCGCTATCCTACTCCATTTTTTTAATAGGCGGTAAATTAAACTGGTTTTCCCCATGCTGAGTCTGTTTTGCCCAAGATATGGTAATTGGTAAGCGATCTCCCTGTTTTTATCTTGACCCACAAATTTTTCCATCTTAGTTTCTCCCCATCCTGTCGACATGGGGGAGCAAGAGAGCTGCTGGATAGGCATCTGGCAGCCAGCCAAGGTTAAACCACCACAGATAAGCAGAGAATGATTTGTTTACCTCATTTTGCTATATAGTTGTGCTCTGGCCATTAGTTGTCTGACATCTGCTTTAGAAATGCTCAGCAGCAGTTAGAAATTACTGTGTTCACATTGTCCCTAACAGTTTTATTCTGAGGTGTTAAGAGGAACATTAATGCAGTTTTACTCTTGCTTTATAATACTGCTGTTGTGTTTCTGATAAGTTACGTGTTCCACCAAGAACTGATGTATTTTGCCAATGAACTCAAAAGTTGTGGGGTGTTTTTTTTCCTTTTCTTCTTTTCAGTGATGGTGGCCTTCGTTTTGGAGAAATGGAACGAGACTGTCAGATTGCTCATGGAGCAGCCCAGTTCTTGAGAGAAAGATTGTTTGAAGCTTCAGACCCATATCAAGTCCATGTTTGTAACCTCTGTGGAATCATGGCGATTGCAAACACAAGGACTCACACCTACGAATGCCGGGGATGCCGTAATAAAACTCAGGTACGTGTGGTTTTCATCAGCCAGCATTTCTCTTTGTGGGTAAGAGGAAATGCCACTTGGGTCAACAGGAGGATAGGGAAGTAAATATTTAAAGAAGCATCAGAACAATTGCTGTTCTAGTTTCATAACTGTTTTAAGTTTTTATAGTGTCCTAGTTAATTTGGATGTTCCCTTATTAATTTTACAGTGTTGGCTTGTCACTTGGCAGGAAATGCTGTTCAAGTATTTTACAGTGCAGAGTTTTCAGAAACTTTAAAAGTAAACACTTGAGAGCTTATTTTTAGAAGTAAAACTCAGAATCACAGGAATTTAGAGCCATGGCCCTTGACTGTCCTCATGAAGATATTTATGCTTGCAGAGCTAGGTGCCCATGGGAGGTCTCGTGTTGCACTTCAATTAAAAAAAAAACAAACAAACCTCTGTGGTGTGTGTTTGGTTACAGAACTTTGTGAAGAGTTAGTGACAGCAGAGATAAAAATAGTTGCTTTAAACAGGCTTGTTCTTGTGCTAGCAACTGACTGCTACAACTCTAACAATGGTGTTCGGGTTACTGAGGAGATGAGTGCTGGAAATCTTAAGTGCATTTATGGTCCATCAAGCACACTTTGCTATGCATGTGTTCCCTGGTTAAATGGCTCTTGTTTACGATCAGATTCCTTGGCTGCAGGTTTTACCATTAAAAATGTGTTCTGGATAGCTGCTGTGTAGCCTCCCCAAGTGGTCTTGGCTTCCCTCTTGCTTTGCTACTGTCTATGAGCAATTCTTGTTAAAAGCTTTCATGCATAACTTCACATTCACTTTTGAGCTAAAGACTTGACACGTTATTTGTGTAGAGGGTGGTGGAAGTTGATGCTTTAGGAGCGCCTATCACAAGCCTTTTGAAATCTCTTTCCAGATATCTTTGGTTCGAATGCCCTATGCCTGCAAACTCCTCTTCCAAGAACTGATGTCTATGAGTATTGCACCTCGTATGATGAGTGTTTAGCCTTTAAAAGGGCTTTTTTTTTTTTTTTTTTAATTATGAGACTGAAGTGCTCAGGTCTTGTTTCGTTTTGTGTAGGTTGCATTTAAAATACAGTTTTACTCATCTGCTATGTGCTGTTCAAAAGATTGTTTATTTCCTGTAAATAGAATTAAAATTTGTAATCAAACTTGTGAATCTCTTTATTTGTGTATCTGTGAAAGAAGTGTGCAAGCAAATTGGTAATCAAAGAACAAGGGAGTTAAGAGGGAATGATTAGTGAGCTAGAAAAAGCCAGAGGTTGCAGCTTTCCAAAATACTGATTTAAAACTGCATAAGTGAAAGTCCTCACATCACAGCTCTGCACCGTCATCTGTGGAAAAAGAAAAACTTATTACGCTCTGTGCTGTTCCAAAGGGTAACATCACATCTTGGGGAGCAGCAGAGTGCCTGAGTTCTTCTCATGTCGTAGCTGAGGGCAAGACCTGACAACTGGGTGCTGACCCCCTCCTTCCTTCTTTCACTATAGAAGGACTACAGCAGCGGGGGGGGGTAGTAATAGCAAGCATTTTTCTGTGCTGAGATCACCTGGACATGGGACACAGACTCCCTAACCACGTAGTGTGTAGCTATGATGTCTGAGGGTTTGTTCCATTAGCGTTATCAGTTTCCTTTAAGTAATTGTGGACTGCTAGCTTATTGCTTAGTTTGCAGCATGCTTACTTGAGAGCTTTGTTACAGCTGTAACGTGGTGTGCGTATAAGAAAGAAACCATGAGGCGGTATGTGCGGTACTACACCGTCGCAGAGTTCCTGTGAGAGAGGGAGTGAACATCTTCTATTCTGGGGTATAACTGTGCTGCTCATAGCACAACTCGGTAAAACTCAATTTCATTCACATCCATAAATAGGGTGTGGGATTAGAGATGAGCTAAAAACCTTTAGCAAAGTTCCTATGTGTAGGTGATACTGGCATTCATTTTATGCTCTTATTTTAATGCCAGGTGCTGTTAATATGCAGGAAGTCTTTCAGCTATTCCAAGGATATAAGGATACAGAAGTCAAGACTTTATCTAAAGCTACTGGGTTTAAAACTAAGGATTATGTCCAAAAATGGATTTGGGCAGTACAGTGTTCTCTACCTGGATGCTATATTCCCAGTGCCTCTGCCTCTAGCATGGTTACAGTTACTTGTTCCAGCTCTCCAGAGGTATTCTGAAGCACATGTGGCTGTGGTGCTAAGCCATCCTCTTAGCAGCTGGAACGAGGGTGGTTGGTTTGCCATGAGCTTTGCACGCAGCCCAGCAAAGAGGACCTGGGTTCGAAAACTGGCTGAGGGCTGGAGGGGAAAGGCTTCAGTTCTTGCCTAAAGGCCTGCTGTGGCACACCTGTCCCCTCCCCAGTTGGACACTCCAGCATGCAGAGAGACTGGTAGGTACTGGGATGTTTCCAGGATGGGAAAGAATAAGGAGGTCCAAGGACTTGGCAGGAATTTAGGTGCTTGAAGTTCCCCCTCTGCCTTGGGGCTAGTTGTGCCAGTACTGCTCCTAGGACAGATGGGCAGGTTTGGAAGCATCCAGAGAATGCTGAAAGGATGATACAAATTTAGGGATGGAAAACCACTGAAAGTGGCTTTGTAAAAGCCCCAAAAGATGTTTTTAATTTGGTATCTTAATCTCCAGTACTTTACAGCACTTGGGGGGTTATTTACTTGAGAACTCTAGCAGCTGAGATTTACTGGGAATGTTTTGCCCAACCAATAAGCAGGTAAAAGCTGCAAGTTAAACTGGTATTTCTAGTGTGTTTATTTTTGTTTGTGGTTTTTTTTTTTTTCCCCAGAAAGCATTAAATGGAGGTAGTCCTTCTGTATCAAATAACTGAGTCATCTGTTAGGGGAAAAGGGCTGCTGAATGTTCAACAACACTACCTACCTTTGATCAGGGCTATTTCGTGCAGAGTTTCCACAACGTGGATTTTTGCAGAAGCTGTTGCCTCTCCTTTGGCATTTGATGCATGACACTCATATTCTCCAGCATCCTCTTTGCTCAGAGGAGAGATCTAG